ACGGACCAGCCAGATCGCCGTGTGTGGCTGCTAAGTGTCTTTGGATGCGGCGCAAGAGGCTCTAACAGCCGGGTCTGTCTTGTCGCCGTTCCCTCTCCCAGGCTACAGGTTATCTGTCCATGCTCTGCTCAGCGACAAGTCGGCTCTGCTTGGGGAAGGGCCTTTGAGATGTGGTCTGGAGCCTCACGAGGGATGAGCTCACGTCAGCCTCGCCCCGCTGCCCCCTCAGCTCTGCCTTCTGCCCAGGCTGGGGCTGCGGCGGGTCCTTCCCGGGGGTCTGCTGGTAGGCGCGGGGGCTGCGTGTGCTTGGATAAGGGCTCGGATGCTTCTGGGAAGAGGTTGGATTTGGTGGGGCTCCAGGACTCCATCGCAGTGATGCGGCAGGTGCTTGGCTGTCCTGGACCCCAGGAATCCGGGTTTGCTCCTTGGTGGGATTTCTCCTACTTTTCCTTTCCTTAAGTGAGAGAAGGGAAAGATGCACTTGCCGGGTTTCTGCTTCTAGTGCAGATCGAATGGAGAAGATGGTTGCAGGAGCTGGCTGCACTTTTTCTGCCTCTTTAATTGATGTTTCAAGCTTGTGTTGTCTGAGACCTTGTGTTGTCTTAGGTCCTTATGGGTTTCCTTAATTACTGTAACAAAGGGCTTGAATTAACACTGTCCTCATGAGCATCTGCAAGAGGGCAGTGTGGCACTTCTCTTGGGATACATGGAGAGCTGTGTCATAACAGATATTTTTTTTAACTTGGGTCCCCTCATGCTGATGACATTTGCTCCTAGTCCTTAGGTCCCTTGTCACATCACATGCCCAGCAAAGTGTTCCTGATGCCACTGGAGGTCAGGGTTGCTGGACAAATGGGAATGTGAATCCCTGCAAATGAGGCCGAGGTCCCTGTCCCAGGAATGTTGGCTGGCACATTCTTCTGGTCATGCAGAAGCAGTCAAGCATTTTGGAAGTGATTGGGAAACTTTCACCAGTTTAAAAAGATTTGGTTGAGAGGTTTTGTTTGTTTTTGCACATGTGAAATGTCTGGAATCTTTTTTGTCTGGCAGCAGAATTACAGTTAGCAAATGTTCATACTAATCTTGCAATCTTTCTACTTTTTCTATACTCTCTCTATACATTGCGCTTTCCTGCTTAGAATAAGATGAGTAATCTCTCTGCTCCAAACTGAGGAGAAGGGGTAGGGTTGTTTCTACAGCGCTCTGGGCACGCAGTATCTAATACTGTGCCGAGGGGCACATGAAGCAGGCCAGCACAGTGCCAGGATGATTATTTTTTATTTACCTTCTGAAGCTCCTGATAGAGGCTGCTGCTGCTGGTGCAGGACATGGCAATACGAGCCCGTAGTGCAAGCAGTGTTTCTGGAGTCAAAGAGCAGCATTTCTTGCTCCCTGTTGGTGCCTCGGGAGTGGCTCCACGCTTGGCCCTGTGTCTTGCAGACCAGAGCTGGCATTCCTAGGCAGGCTGATGTTTTGGGCTAGTTGGAGCTGCTGATAAATGCTGGCACCATCTGATTTATTGTCTGACTCTGTTCCCAAGGAGACCACAAATGTAGCAGTTGGAGATAAGCAGCTTATAACCTAGAGGTGGCTGGCTTAAAATATTGGTGTCTTTCTGTTTTCATGGTAGCAGAATCTTCTTTTTTCCACTTCCTAGCTTCGCTTTACTCTGTTATCAGAATGAAATGCCCTGTGTTGTGCTGAGATGCCTCTCTGTCTTTAGACTTGGCTGAAGTTATAGACTTGGTTGGATTGTCTGTCATCACTCTAAATGCAAATTTGCTGAGCACAGTGCCAGTTATGCCAGTGTCTCTTATTTTGGGGGCTGATGCCAGTTCCTGTGCCTAAACCTGGTGACCAGCAGGTCACAGGGAATGTGTCCATGCTGTATCTGCAGTACCTATCCAGCCCTGCTTGCTTGTGTCTCCTCTGCAGCCACCACATCCTGGCTGGAAGGGAAGGTGTCATCCCATTCTGGCTGTGGGATCCTGCACCTAGAGAAGTCATTTGATGCACGGGGCACAACTAAGGACAGGGGTGACATTACTGGGCACGTTAAGACTGGTATAATTGAAAGGGCCTAGAGTCTGTATTAGGGAGCCTAACACACTTTCATAGTTTTGCTTGAATACATGGCTTTTGAAGGAGGGCTTTGGACTTATAGCCTATCTACGCTGGCCTCCCACCTCTTGGGGGCCTTTAGCCTCACATATTGTGTTCTAATTTAAGCCAAAACTTGCCCATGGCACTTGCCTTGAAGCCTGGCATCCTCGAACGCTCCAAGCAGCTTGTTCACACTTGAATACTGACTGTATTCGCTGCCATCCTGCGCCTCTTCTACTGCCAATGTCTGAAAAAGCTGCCCGGGTACGTTCTGCAAGCATAGCATACTGAGCCAGGTTAAGTCTTGCTGAAGCTCTGCTAGTTTTGGAACTAAACATATTCCTGTCTTCATTGTGAAGTATGAATGTTTTTAATGAGTAGCTACTGCAAAACCTCCAAAGGTCCCTTTGCTCCAGCAGCTCCTTTGCTTATCCAGGCATTGCTGGAGTGTGGCTTTGGTTCTGGGGGACACACAGATACTGAGGTAGAAGAGACAAATGATTCTTCTACAATTCCCTTAATTTGTGCATAAAGCTGTGAGATGTGTCCAGGAGACACAGGAGCATAAAATGTCCTGGTTTACCTCTGGCTTTGTTTCTAAATTGCTTAAGATGAGATTCCCCAAACACCTGTATTCCCTGTGTTGTCTCTTCTGTTAGTGGAAAATTCCTACTCCAAAATGGGCCATATGCTCAAGCGGGATGAAGCAAGAAGCCTCTGCCATAGCGCAGCAGGGGAGCAGCCTATGTGGCTGCATCTCATTGGAGTGATGCTGGGTTATTTTTAATTAGCACTTTTCCACAGGAAATGATCTCTTGCAATTCTCTCGCTGTGCTTAAGCTTTGCTATCCGTGTTGCTTTGTATCTGCCTGGATTGCTGCATTTGTTGATGTGCAGATGGGGTATGGGAGCTGTGGGGCTAACTTCCCTAGCGTGGTGGTACCCTGCCACATGACAAAGTGAAGCACCAGATACTGTTTAGATCTGATAGATCTGAGCAGTTACCACCCCTAACATACACACTGTGGTCCAAAATGTGAGAAACGCTCTCAAATGAGAGATCAATAGAGTGGAGACTCCCTTTAAGCTTGGGTTGCACATGCAGGGTGACAAGGGACACTGCAGACAGCAGGGTGGCTGAGATGTCCCCCAGCAACAGCTGCTGGGAAGTGTTTTCCCCAAAGCACAGCGCTTGGAGATAACTTCCCAGGAGCTGTTCAAGGCAGGTATCCTGCTTTTTCTTGTCATTACATACTGCATAGATTGAGCAGAACACTTTAGTTCTGTGAATGTTGTATTTCAATGAGTTTGGAAATACCTGTTTTCCTTGTGGGATTTCAGTGGGCATTTGGCTATAGGCTACACTGAGGTTGTACACTAAAACAAGAGAAAAAAAGTATTAATACAGGGCAGCTCCAGAAACAACTCTGGTGTAGAGAAGGATCCTTGATTGCTCTAAGCATGAGACAATTGATGGTATGTGTAGTGGAAGAGCTGAATGTAGTCATTGACTTGCAAATACATGTTGGTCTAGGAGGGAGAAAGGACCTGTAGTCACAAGAACAGCCCAGTTCTTTGGTGCAGTCTCGAGACTAAAGAGTTTTCTCTTCAGGTTTACCCAGTTCAGCCTTTCCCTCTGATCTGTTCTGATGGAGCCAACAGTGCATTTCCCTTCCCACCCCTTGGCTGTCTCTCTTGTTTACAGTGCAAGCTCTCTGAGTCCACGAGTTGCTCTGCTCAGGCAGCTTCTTGCACAATAGGCTCCCACAGTTGTACTATGCCAGCCTGGAGACACTCCCTTAATCCAAATAATAGTACACAAAGGCTGTTTACTTGGGATGTGTGCACTCCTTGGGGCATGTTTTCAGAAACCACAGTCTGCAAATGTAATAAAATATGTAAAAACCTTTCAGGATAAAGTAATTAGGTGATTTATAGCAAAGGACAACTTTACTTGAGGTGAAGTACGCCAAGCCTTCTGTTTCATGTAGAAAGAACAGAAGTTCTTTCTGTTTAGAACAGCTCTGGCTGTGATGAACTCGTTTGGTAGCGCTCAGTAGCTATAGGTGATGCCTGTTTATATTATATACACTTTATCCTCAAACCTTAAGAGCTGGCTCAGTCTTTATTTTGAGCTGTTGCCTGATTGAGATGAACTAGCTCAAGCAGGTCTGAGTAATTATAGTTCAGAGCAGAACTTCCAGTTCTGATATGAATGCAAGTCAAAAGCAGAGAACTATTGATTTGCTGAGAGATGGACTCCCTATCAGGAGAAAGGACAGCTCTGTGGTCAGCTCTGACACTGAATTGACTGGGAGGTGCCATTTTTAAACCTTCCCAAAGCCCAGCTTCCCAAGTGCTAAACTTGCAGCAAAGCAGAACTGTATTATGGGAATGTTATTCAAAATATTATGCTAATGGTACTCTGAGCTCACAAATTCTGACAAAAATCTTTGCTGTGTGTCACCTTGCCAGCTTAATGCTGCAGTCGCAACATGATCTGACTCAGGCAGCACAGAAGTGACAGAGTGGGATGTTGTGTTATACAAGTTCCTTAGTCTTAACTGAAAAAAGGTACCTGAGATACTGGCGGGTTTCTCCCCTAAAAGGCAGTGAATGGTGTCTAAACCAAAATGAATGGTAGCATGAGCCTAACTGATCAAAGATTTTAATTTTGGTACAATGTGCTGTTTCACTGTTTTGATTATTTGACTTGTATATTATATATCTGTCTTCTTTTTTTACAATCCAGAAGAACGTTGTCTGAAACTCATTTAATGAGCAGATACAACACAGTAAGTTAAAATTACATATATATACAAACTGTACACATGCACACAAATACACACTGCAAAACACATAAGAGGTAGTACCATTAAGAAATACATAATATACAGTAAAAAAACCCGCAATTCAGGCTTTGCCCTGGTACTTCAGAGTAGCATGAGAAGCTACACTAGACTTCAGCATTAGTCTGAGCTTAAAATTCTCTGACTTTGTATGATTGTAGCCTTACTTTGCCAAAGATATTCCTTCAGGCGACTAGCTTGAACAACATTTGGTTCATAAATTAAGTACTATGACAAGTTGCTCAGATAATCCATTATTTCTATAGGAATCAGATTGTCTGTATGCTCTAGTATGTAAAGCTAGGCATGGTCATAGAATATTTAACCTGTGTATGTGTCTTCTCTCTAGGAAGATTCCCATCCACATCTTTGCATCTTCTTTTGAAGAGATTTTTATTCTTCAAGGAAAATGCCCAAAAGGCGATGGATTTTATTGCTGACACTAATGAAAATTTCACTGTAATCCTTATGTTACAGTAGGCATTAACTACAGTATTACATTTCTACCAAGAAAAATACATCTCATATCTAGCAAAACTTGATCACAGAGGTACTGAAAGACAGAGATGGGGATTCTCATATGATGGCTCCTCAGGTCCCCATTTAGGAATATCTTAGTGTGCCTTAAATGCTTAGGATTCATGTGATTTCAAAAGCAAAGCTCTTTCCGAGCATCATAGTCAACCAGACTAATTCTCAACATTTTAAAGCTGTGTTTATAGTGACTAAAACTCAGCCTCATGAACACTGTTTTAGGGAAAATGAAAATACAGGTAAATATGCACTGTTGAGATTTCAAAGAGAATAAAACAGACTTGAGAAATAGAATCTGGACAGGCAGATGGCAGGTATGAAAGACTGATCTAACCAAGGAGTGTCTTAGGTCAGAATGACATGCATGTAGGCAGCAGCAAGAGCAAGACTAGGAGACTGCAGTGAAATAGGAAAATCTTTTTTTTCTTCAGCCTTGTTTTCTAGACTACCCAGTTTCCTATATTTTTGAGCTCTGATGGGCCAGCAGAAAAAGAAAACAGAAGACCCAAAAGAAACATAAATGTAACATAACAAGGGAAGACATTGAAATATATTGTAGATAGCTGTTATCTGATATACTCCTCCTCAGAGATGCATGACATATCTTCATCTGTGCCTTCCTCCAAATCTGGCAAGTTGCCCCAGAGCAATACATTCACACCTGGTGGGAGGGAAGCAAGAAGAAAGAGGAGGAGGAGGAAAAGAATTTTGGATTGTGACCTAAGTTGCACAACTATTTTTAGAGTGAATAGCTGCTCTGATCATTGCAAAATCTTGCAAGTCAAGTTCAGGTTAAACAGATCTGGGCTATTTCCTTTTTTTCCCTTCCAAAGTGATCTTGTAAATGTTTAGATCCCTGCCCACAGCTGTGTTCACATGGCTATTGATAATCTCATTATGCCTGATTTTAAATGCATTGATCTCAGGTGACATTGAAAGGTTTAGACAGTTAATCTCATGCACAATGAAGAGAAGTGATTTGTCAGAAACTTGTGCACCCCTGAGAACTCAAGGCAAATGATGTTAGACACTTGGCATCCAAACAGATGCATCTAATTAAAGCAGCTAATATGAGCTGTAACTTCAGCTTGAGCCAAGGGGAACTGCGTTGTAGGGTCAGAATGACAATGACTGGTCCAAAAGAGTGTCCCTTGGACAGCTGCCTGCCAGCACAGTAAAGCTATACATACTGCTATAAATAGCAGCTTGGGGCTGTTGTTTATACTAGCTAGAAGGCTTCAGAAAATCCTCACTTCTGCTCGCAGATAAGGGGCAGGCTAAACTCTAATGTAAACTTCAAAGTGGAGATTAATCTTCATTTACAAAGATGCTACAACTGCCTCCCACAAAGTAGTTGGCTGGATTGGCAATGAAATAACACTTGCCTTATCCCTCCATATGCTGTACTCTCTCCATATGCTTTAACTATATTGAGATGTCTCATTAAGAAGCAGTCAGAACTCAACACTTCAGGGGAGAGAGAGAAAAGTGTTCCTTACCAGAAGAATCTAGTCTGTTGATGCCAAAGACTGCTTGGCTATGGAACATCCAGAAGTGGCCATTATTGCAGGAGAGCAGGCAAGGTTTGCATGGAGAAATCACATGATAACCTACAACGTTACCACTAGAAAGACAAGGAAAATAATGAGCAGGGTAAATCCGAACAAAAAGCTGGTTGCTGATTTTCCAGCTTGGACTAGTGTTAAAGAGCTGCTGTACCAGATAGACTGTTATGTAATGCTCCTATGTCGACATTAAAGGAATATTAAACAAGAATTAAAATATTTAAGAGTACATCTGTCAGGAGTTGCAGACTATCTAAGCTTTAGATCTTTGGCAAGGAACCATTTTGTAATCTAAATTGTGTAATCCAGAGTAGTTTACATACCAGCAAACCAAAAATGTTTTTAAAGGCCAGTGATTGTGCTGGAATCCATGCAGAAGTGCTTGATCATGCACATACTGTGCTTCTGTACAGCACTGTGCAGGAGATAATAGCAGTATAAAACAGCAGCAATGAGACTGAGAATATCAAAGCCTGATCTGCTCTTAGGTAAACCTTGGATAACAACTCTCCTGCTTTCTCAATCAGGCACTCTATATTTTCACTTCTGTACTTCTACCTAAAGCAACTGTATTCCTATATCAAAACTTCTGTATTTAAATTTGAGCAAGAAAAAATCTTGGTTATCAGCATCCCCTTGGATAACTCCACAGGAAATATGTTACCAGAGTCGTCATTTTGGATCTTAAATATCAGGCCTTAATAAAAAGGATAAAAGAACTCCAAGAACTTCAGTGACAGCATCTTCCATCTGCTAGCAACAACTTGATCTGCCAAGAGGATGTTCTATTAATTAGAATGAGTAACTACTTCTTACTGAGGCCTTATTCACACAATTATCTCTGTGTTGAAGCAGACATTTAATCAGGCAGGTGGCATGCAAGCTTTCCTGTACACTCAGCCTATTGACAAGGTTGTCACATTTCCACTGGGGACTTGCAGAGAAATAGACTGGCAGCCGTGCCCAGAAGCAGAGGGCTGAGCTTCTATCAAGCAGCATTAAATGAAATCTCAAATCGCGAGTGCAACCTGCTCCTTCCTGCCTTACTGCAGAGCAGTAGTCAATCATGAGCGGCTGAGCAGCCCTGCTGCAGCACGTGCCTGTCGAGCAGGTGTCGGTGTTGACAACACTCTTACCATTTCAAACACGCGATGTTCTTCAGCTTGCACTTGCAGATTTCGGTGAAGTAGCAGCTTCCAGTGAAGTCGACAGTACTGGATGGGAAGAAAACCAGCAAGGCAAGAGGTTTAGATATAGCTATAACTGCAGGCTGGTGTGAACTTCCATTCTAGGTGTCTTTTGAACTTGCCCAAGGGCACTCGAGTGCTTTTTCCTCCCAGGCACCAGCTAGACTCATATGGAAAGAAGAGGCCATCGCACCCGGTGCCGCTGTCCTCAAAATAGCCCCGAAACTGCCGCTTCCCTTCACGCTCTCGGGTTCCCGGGGCTGGCCCTGCTGCCGTGTGCAGCACCGGCTCACTCGGAAGTGTCTGACTGGAGATGTCCCCCTCGGTCCCAGCTACTCCTGGCTACAGAAACCCCTGGTGAATTTTTTTAGCTCCTGCTTTTGTGTTTTGCAGCCTTATCTTCTTAGCATCCGAACGTCCTTCCCGGAAAAGCTGTGGCGGGGCAGGAGGGGCTCGGGGCTGCTCTCGGGCCCTTCCCCGCGGCCCTCCGGGCTCTGCCGGGCAGCGGGAGGGCGCGTCCCCCACGCGGGATCCGCTCGGAGCCTCCGGGGAGCCGAGGGGGCTGCAGCAGGGAAGAACGGGGTGAACTGCAGCGGTTTTGGCGCTGCCCATCACCAAGGGGGGCTCCTGGAGCGCGGGAGCCCCGCGGCGGCGGGAGGCGCTTACCCCGAGGGCGGGATGTCGGTGGAGTAGAGGTCCACGTCGGTGTCGGCCAGCAGCACGGCCTTCATGCCGCGCGAGCTGAGCAGCTGCCGGCAGAAGCGGCAGCAGAGCAGGGCCACGCTGCGCTCCGCGAAGGCGCTGCCCGCCATGGCGGCGCCGCCGCGCTGCCCTCAACGGCTTCACCGTTTGAATCGCCGGCCCCGCGCCCGCATTGGCCGGCACGCGCCCCGCCTCGCCGCTCTCGTTGGAGGATGCGCGCGCCGCGCCCACGCGCTCCGCTCAATCGCCGTTGGAGGAGGCCGGTGGCACCACCCCCAGCGCCTGGCTATTGGTGGAAGGGCACGCCCAGCCTGCTCTCATTGGCCCCGCCGGGGGTAGATTTGCATATATCGTGCCGCCCCTGCGCAGAACTTAGGGGAGTTGCTCCTGCCGGTGTGGCGGGGCGGCACTGAGAGGGGTGGGCCGAGACGGGGAGGTGGAAGGCTCTCGTTGGCTGGCGCCCCTGCCCATCACGCCGCGAGAGCTCCGCGGATTGGGCGAGCGGCGCGGCGGGGTGGGGCGAGCGGCGGGGGAACCGGGCGGCGGGCGGCAGCGGCCGGAGGACGCGCGGCTGCGGGAGGCGGCGGCGGCGGCGGCGGCTCCGCAGCGCCCAGGTAACCGCCCGGCCCGGCCCGGCCCGGCTCGGCCCGGCTCGGCTCCCCCGCCGGGGCCCGCGGCCGCGTCGCCCAACGGGGTCCCGTTCCGGCCCCGCCGCCGCCGCCTCATTGTTCGTGGCGGGCGGAGAGCGGGTCCCGCTCGGCTTCAGCGCCCCCTCCCCGTGCCCACGCTGCAGCTCCACCCCCCCTTTAAAAAAAAGGGAACAAAAATTTTAAAAAATCATTTAAAAAATCCTTAAAAATAGTATGGGGAAAAAGTTGTGTCCTGCGGCCGGAGCTGCTGCTAGTAGTGCGGGAATGTGCCCGGAAAGGGCAAGAATCCGCCCAAATCGCCCCAAAAAAGCGCCTGGGCCGCGCTGCCTTTGCTTGGCACTTCGGATTGCCGTCAGCGACCTTTAATTCTCAGAAAAGATAAATAAAAAATGATATATAGAATGAATCGCATGAATAATACGCTTTTTCTCTTGCATTTGCAGGCAAGCCAAGGAAAACGAGCTCCCTCAGCCGCCCTTTCTGCTGCCCGCTGGGATTTGGGCTGCATCATCTCCGCGCCCGTTTAAAGAGGAACGGAAAAAAAGACACAAAACAGCAAAAAAAGGAAGAAAAAAAAAAAAAGCAGCTGAAGGAAAGCGGCCCAAAACGGAGCCCCGAGCATGCGGCTGTGCGGGAGGACGCGCAGGGCCCGGGCGCGCTGCTAGTGACCGCAGCCGGGCAAGGGGGAGCGCCGGGGGTCTCGCCCGGCGGATGCTGCCGCCGCCGCCGCGAGGGGTTTTGGTGCAGGGAGGCAGAGCTGCCGCCCCGTCCCCCCGCTGAGCCCCCCGCGCGCCGCCCGCCTCCCCATGGACTGAGTCCGGGTGTCTCTCGTGTTTGATTCCGGCGGGCCGAGGCGTTGCGGCGCGCCGCTGCGCTTCTCCGCTGCGTTCCGGGGGCTCCGCGCGCAGGCCGAGCGTTTTGGGGGAGAAAACATGACGTCGCCGGCCAAATTCAAAAAGGATAAGGAGATCATAGCCGAATATGACACTCAAGTGAAAGGTAGGAGCCCTTGGCTTTCCTGCCCGCAATCCTGGCTCGCGAATGCGGGAGTTTGCGGGAGGCGTTTGGGTGGGGAAAGGGGGAAACCATTTGCAGATTGCTTGGAATTTGCAGGGCTTTTCCGTCTGGAAATGCTGGGCTTTTTCTGCCCGGCCGTGGGGTGGGTTCCTGCCGCGGTGCTGCTGCTAAAAAGCCATCCCAGGAAGGGGATTGTTTTACTGGATGCAGCAAATCTTTCCCTTCTGAGATAGAGATGTTTTTTCCGCCTGCTCCAAAATGCAGCCTCGCCTTGGGTTAATTGCCTTTTAATCCTCCTTCTATCATAGGAATCTCTTAACAAAAATAACCCCCGTAGTGTCGGAAGCCCTTGACAGTGTTGCAGACCTCTGCTGAGGGGCTTTGCAAAGCCATTTGTGCTAGAAAGTTCCATTATTGGGGATTTTATTCGTGCTGAGCCCATAACGCTGCTGCCTGCCCTTTTTTTCCCTTGCCGTGCTCTTGAGGATCACACCTTAGGGCTGCGATTTTTTTGTCTGTGTGCACATACCTACACATGTACCACTGAATAAAGCGGATATATCTGGTACGGGGGGATTCCAGGCGTCATAAGGAAGGTAATGAGGAGGGAGAGGGGTATTTGTAATGATAATGGGAGTATTCTGCAGGAGCCACTTGGCTGCGTTTCAGAATATCATGTGCCCTGGGTGAAAAAGGATGGTGAAATGTCTGCATAGCCGCTTACCCTTGCGAAATTTTCCAAATGACATTTATATATATATATATATATAAAAATGTATATAAGATGTATGGCTCTATTACTGTTAGAAAGTGAAGAGATTTTGTAATTTATCTAATTGGTTAAAACTTGCTTGCAATGCTCCTCGCAGGCAGGAAAGATGGCCCGTGGGCAGGGTTGATTGAGTTAAATCAATGCGATTAAAAAATAGTAGCCTAAATCTGAGTAGGAAGTCTAGATTAAAACTGACAATTAAAATGCTGTTTTGCAATTATGTGCTCAGCTGTTCTTCCTAGTTGGGAGGTTTTGTCCCTGGTTGCTAGTCATTAAATTGCAGTTCTACAAATAGATGCGCATCCTGTGCTAGGCTTAGTGTTGGGTTTTGCCTAAACCTGAAAGAAGTTTTGACATTTATATTAAAAAAATGTTTATTTGAGCAAGTATAAAGGTCAATTAATGTTTATCTTCTTTTTTAATAATTTTAGTATTTTTAGAGCCCAAAATGGAGAACATTATTTCCTCTTTACCATGCTAGTTTCTATTCCCGTTTCAAGCTGTGCTTGATGGAAGTAGGAATTGAAGCCAGTGGAGAATGAGCAGTTTTTAAATATTGCATTTCAATTTTACCCCTTGCAAAGGGGCACGATCGACAGAAATCAAGTTGTAGTAGCGTAGCTGGGGTTTAAACCCGAGAAATACCCTTCGTAGCGAGCGTACCTTGTAGCAAACTCTACACTCTAGTACTGCTACTTGGACTTCTTTTGGTGTGTATGTGTTATAAAAAGCTCCTATCCCAAGTGGGTTCAGTTTGGGAATGAGGAATTGTCTTTAAATAGGTGACTGGAAGCCGGGAGAGCCGGATTCGCTTCCCAAGCTGTCTGGAAAGGTAGTGCTGAGCGTGTGATGCTCTGACTTGTGCTGCTGGAGCGCTCTGTGACTGTCCCCTGGCCGCCAGGGACCCTGTGGACGGGAATTCGGCAGCGATAGGGAACCCTTGTATGGGAAATGCTGGAAATGAGTGTTTCACATCACTTTCTGTGAGGTGTAGATGGGTCTTAATGTGAAGGCAGGGGATCCGTCCTCCCTCTTCCTCCTCACCTTGTTCCTTGCAAAATCCCAGGGTGAAGCATCTCCTCGTCCAGCTTCAGCACTGTGCGTGCTGCTTTCTGGAGCAACGGAGATCCTCAGCCCTCTTAAATACCAGCTCTTTTAAAAAATTCATGCAACTTATTTACTTAATGCCTCTATGCTCTTTCATTCTACCGTTGCAAGGGGATTTGGCAGCGTCAGAAACGCTTGGGAAGCTCTTGCAAGCAGCCGGACCTTGTTCCCGCTCTTGCAGCGGCGCTAGAGCAACAAGGAGGGGAAGGTGGTGCTTAAAGGAGGACTTGGAGGCTGCTCTGAAACCCAGAGCTCCCATGCCACCTTGTCATTGCCATGGGCCTTATGTAGTCAGAGCATCATACTCGGTTTTGGAGTCTTGATGAAGTTCTAGCTTGGATGTCATGAGCGGTTTGGGAGAAATGTTGCCTCTCATTATGGATTATCCAGCTTTTCTGTTGCACTGGGTCGTGATGCCATGAGGTTGCCGTTGCGGGAGTGAGAGGAATCAGGTGTAGCCATATTCTATAAATTGTATTTTAGTTGCTTTTGGGAACGTGCTTTGGAGCCTGTAGGTGCTAGCGCAGCTTCTAAGGGTGGAGGTTGGGCTGAGGCCCCTTCCAGCCCGGATTAAGTTATGATCCTTTGGCCTCCAGTACGTGGAGGTGCAAGTGCAAAGTTACTGCCCTGGGTGAGAGTGAATTGATGTCTTGAGAACCGCCCTGTGTGGGCATCTTCTAAGCAGCTGCTCGGAGACCCTGCTCTCCCTTGGAGTCTTCGCCGCGCTTCCGTGATCCAGGTGGTCTCCAGCAACAGTAGAACAGCCTGTCCGGGTGGTTGTTCTAGGGAATATTGCACACTGGAGTGTTTCCCGCTGCTGGTGGAGCGAGTATTTCATGCTGCCTGCTGGGAATGCTGCAGCCTTGGAGAAATCCTTGAGAAACCCATGAAAAGCGGTGCGTCGAGCAGAGGAATTGCCCGAGACGCCGCGGGGTGGGCAGGGAGGGCTGTGCCGCTCGGCTGCCTTGCTGCCCGGCGCTCCCAAAGGTGCCGAGTTCGTGAGGCTGCACGGAGAGATTCCCCGCTCTCCATATGGAGCCTTTGATATCTCGCCCTTGGCCCCTTGTCTGGATTGTCCGTCCCCATTCCTGCGTGCAAGTTGCAGGAAAGCAGAGATAATTAATTTGTGCTGTGCAATGTGCTCCGTGCAAGATTTGGACTCTGCCTATCTACACTTGGGCAAGGACTGACAGCTTTTTTGTCTTGTTTTGGTTTGGTTTAAATGTATTAAATTGGAATGTACATTTACTGCGGAAAGAAAAGCTAGTGATTTATCTTTTAATTCTTCCTTCCTTTCTCCCCGTTTCCCATGAGAGTGTTATATTTAATTAGTTTGTATAAAGCTTCAGTAAATAGCTGCATGGTTTGGGTGACAGAAATTTAATACTGGGGTTTTTTAACAGTGATGGTTCAGAAGGCACCTCAGTTATGCAGAAGTGGTCCCTAGCAAAGGTGAGAAGTCTTCTGCAAATCTTGTAGCTCCATTCAAGAAGGAATATGAAAAATAGAGGAGTGAACGTAAAGCAAAAGCCAGCACAGCACAGAAGGGGCCATTGGTTTATTGGGCTGAGTCTAGTCTTGGAACTAAGATTCTGACAAAAGGAACTTCAGGCAAGTCCAAGTCTTTGGAAATGTGGCATTCCCAATGTGGGGGATGAATTTCCAGCAAGTCCTGTTTTCATTTCCACGTGCAGAGTGGCTGACCGTGTCCTTGATGGTGCTTCGATGTTTCTCCCTTTAGCTGCTGCTCGAGATCAGCGGCCGCCTTGATAAGGCTCCATCTTTTCCATCTTTCGGCCACCTCGAGGGATGCTTGGCAGCTTTCAGCGCCGATAGCTCCTGCTGTTTGAGCTCTGCCTGCTCCCGCTGTTTGAGCTCTACCTGCGCCAGCCTTTCTTGATAGAAGATCAGAAACGTAGCAGTGACTGGTCAAGAAGCTGCAATTCGGCCATGGGCATTTCAGCTTTGGGGGTCATTTAAAAGGCACTTTCCTCATGTTGTAAGATGCTGGGTAGTCGATGGATTATTTTTTTGGTAATACTTTGCCTAAAGTGCTTGTCCAGAAAGCAACTGTTTGCAGAATTGTTTATTTTTTGATTGTTTCACATAGGTTAAGATGACTTGGTGAAAGAAAAAGACTCAAACCTGCGCCTTTAGGGATGTTTCCAGTGTATTACGTATTTACGATGGAGACTTGTCTTTTCAGAGGGTGTAAATCCCATTGAAGGGCAATTCCAAGCTGCTTCCTGCGCTCTGACCCGTTGCGTAGGATTGCCTTTGTTCCGGGAATGTTGGAGATGCCTACAGGAGGGCGTTTAAATGCAGTGGGCTGAAACGCTGTGCTGACTTTCAGGAGGCTCCTACCTGTTTGTGCCTAATCTGCAAAGCTGAGTGTAGTGGGAAAGGACTTGTCTTTATCTGTGCTTAGGGCTGGGGCGGTGCTTGGCTCTTCCCACGACTAAGAGCATCTGGTATCTAAAATGCATTTTGTGGGATGTACTTCCTTTCTGGAAAAACTGAGTTGTTCGCACGTTTCATTAGCACGGATTATGATATTAAAATAGGAAGAAATTTTATGTGGGGAAAAGATTATGGGCTGAAGACACTTTCAGGAGGCTGCCAGATGTTGTTGAACTTGGCAGCAAAACGTGGTGGCCGCCGACAGATGCAGGGGGTTAAACTGGAAAACAGGAATCCTTCCCCTTCCCTCCCGGTCACCTGGGCAGCTTCCTGCTGGTACCGCCTGGGAATCACAGCTGTGAGGAGCTGGTTTGTTCTGTGGGTGTCGATAGTGCTGCAAATAACTGTCCCGGGCGAGCAAAAGGTCCTGGAAAAACTGGAAAACTTCCGGAAAACTGATGCTCCTGCAGCTTCTTGGGATCCCAGGTAAGCGGCATGTTCCCGTGGAAGCAGAACTGGGCACAGCCTCCAAGGAGAGGCCGAGCTGCCTAACGAAGCGGGGTTGCTTTTCTGGCTGTAACATCCAGCGCGTCCAGTGACGACGACTTCCTTTTTGTCCCTATGGATGGAAATGAAATTCCATAGGCTGCGAAGCACAAAAGCAACAAAAAGTCAGCTTTCCATCTTTGAAACGGGCATGGCA